GTTACGCTCCTCTGACAAAGCCCAGAGACTACACCCCTCTGACGAAGCCTCTTTCGGCAGAGTAACGCTTAAGGAAGTAGTGTGGGATCAGCTATCCCTACCCTGGCTCATGGATCCCATATCCTGATCATGGACTTGGTTACTATACTTTAACTGTGTATTGAACAAATTGTGTCATCATTGGACATTTTTCAGCATCTTTGCCTCTGAGAGGAGATAATTATTTTCTATGTGCACTGTTTATAGAGTACGGTCGTACACAGATCAAATGCCTGATTAGAGGTGGATTACCCGGGCTGTCGTTTGAATTCGGAGGCAAATAAATCCCTGAGCTGTTCAAACAACTCACCACTTTATACTCCTCATAGAGACTATCTGTCATCTACACACATTAAGCCTGCCTACAAAAACATGTTTTAGCCAGTATGATAGTGATGACCTTGCTTTTTCAAACACACTTTATATATGCATGTCGGTGTAACGTGCATCACACTTGAACGCATGGAGTGATATTATATGCTGATACACTTACTTTGACGTTTTTTCTTTTGGAGACACATTGCTGGATATCCTGGATAATCGTGTCATATTAACCATCCTAAGCATATCGTTGCTGGTGATTATGCTATGCTTAAATGAAAGGAGTGACATTGCATGTTGATTTATTTACTTCAAAGTTTTTCTATCTGGAGACACATTATTGGATATCTTTAAAATTGTATCATATTAACCATCCTCTATATATGCATGTATGTCGGTGTAACATGCATCATGCCTCAATGCATGGAGTGATATTAAATGCTGATACACTTACTTTGAAGTTTTTTCTTTTGGAGACACATTGCTGGATATCCTTGAAAATTGTGTTATACTAACCATCCTAAGGATATAACTGTTGGTGGCTACCCTATGCTTAACTGCAAGGAGTGGCACTTTATGCTGATTCATTCACTTCAGATTTTTTTTTTTTATCTGGAGGCACATTGTTGGATACCTTTTAAAAATGGTATCATATTAACCATCCTGGGGATATTGTTGCTGGTGGCCACCCGTCACAATTGGGATCAATATTATATTTATATACATATATGGTGTTGTCCATGATTATTGCATTTTTACAGAGCCATGTGTGGGGTATTTTTTAGGATTTTACAAGTTTGTCCGATGTGTATGTATGGTGTTTGCAATTTTTGGAATAAAACTATTTTCATTGAACACAAATTGATATTCACTATAATTCTATGTTGGGATCTCTATTAAAGGGGAACTAAACTTTTAAATATTTATTTAGGAGACCCACATAGATTTATTTATAGTTATTAATGTGCAGCCCCCTTCCTCTGTATATACCACATCTTTATGTGTTAACAATATTTTATATGTAAATTGCTGCATTTCAGAATTAAAAGCTAACTTATTATATATCAATGTGTGTCCTGAGATTGCTATGTCCTGTAAAGGTGCCCGTACACCTTACTATTATCTGCAGATTTTCTTTGGTCAGATGGAAAAAGTGCAACAGATTGGCCCAGGTGGAGATTACTCCATCCACACAGTTAAATGTGGATGTAGGAATCTGTTGCACCTTTTCCATCTGACCACAGAAAATCTGCAGATAAGTGTAAGGTGTATGGGCAGCTTAAGGCTTGAGTACCTTCACAATGCAAGTTGACACAGGCAAATGCATCCCTCTGTTCAATTGTTTTGGTAAAACAAGACATGCATTTAGGGTGGATTAAAGATCTGTGTGAGAAGACCATACAAGTAAACATGTATATACTTTCTATTTTGTGAAATAAATGTATGTTTTAGTAACAAGGTTCATTTTCAATCACCTTTTACAAAGAATAGTAAAAGGATTTGAAAAAGTGTCTGAAATGCATAAACTACACTTGTACAATTTAGATGCCTTCCAACTGACAACTGTGGAAATAAAAACTGGCCTTGAATATGTTTAAAAAGGACAAAATGTGTTCATAAAAAGGTCCAACTTGGAAGCCAATGAAAACACTAGGTAAACCCTGCTTTGCCAAACCCCATTGATGTTAACAACAATGAATTTAGAACGTTCAGTCATGTTTCACATATATTTTAAATGCTTATAAAATTTAATGTATACAAACCCTAAGGCACATTTTGTAAAATCATAGTAGCAAGTGTCCTTTTATTAAATTATTTTCATTGAGGTCTACACAGTAGCTAGAATTGTTTACCTAGACTGTTCTAGAAAATCAATAAACATATAGGAGAATGCAGTTTCAAATTTAAATTCTTACAATACCATTTTGTTATTCTAGTACAATTACATTTTACTTGGGAAATAAAGTCAAGATAAACAGTATCAGTGAAAATACATAATCTTAGATCATGTGCACTTGGCAATTCTCTTTCTTTGTGAGCTGAAGATTTCTCACTGCTATGTCTGTGTATGTGTATTACTAGCAGTTTGGGAATGGATTATGGGGTTCACTGATTAATCAAACTTCATTGTGTGCAACTGTTAAATTGGACAATAACTACAAAGAAGCAGAGTCATTACAGGAAGGCCCCATAGGTCTGAAACCTTTAGTAAATGCATGTGTTTTAAAAGAAACAGGCATAGGTCAATTACATTTTTCTTTACAATTTAAAATATAATGTAGTGTCTTGTCTGCAGATTTTCCTTAAATATAGATACCCAATCATCTATCTAAGATAAGAATGTGAGGAGCATGTAAATTGCTCCTATGCCTGTCGCAAACTCCCAGCTCCCACTGGTGGTTGCTTGAAGCTAATGCACCTATTCCAGTCTTCTGGTTAGCTGTGGGCTAATGAGCCTGGCCACACGCCCCTCAGCCTCGGATTGGCTAGTGGCACTTTATTTAAACATCACAAGCCCAGGGTTCTGTACTTTGGTGCTCTCCTTTTACACCAGGGCTGGGGAACCTCCTGCTCTCCAGCTGTGGTGAAACTACAAGTCTTATGATGCATCTGTCACTGGGAGTCATGCCTGTGGCTGTGAGAATCTTGCAATGCCTCACGGGATTTGTAGTTCCACCACAGCTGGGGGGCCGGAGGTTCCCCACCCCTGTTTTACACCCTTCATATTCACAAAAGGAGGCATACACAGAAAGCAGTCAATTGTATTGCCGTAGGGAGGAATTGGGAATGCAATATGCATTGCTTAGTTTGTTATATAAACTGTCTACTGGTATATTTCCCAACAAGGATAATTATTGTTGACAGTGCATGCATCAATATATTGTGAATCAATAATGTATATTAAATAATATGCTCAACACTTCTTTTAACGGTTACCAACCTTTGTTTGCATATTAACTGATTTTTAGAAATTAATTCACACTGACAGAACATTTTTTGTTAATATTTAGGTATATGTTTAATTGGGGATTCATACATTTTGTTTAGGTTACTGAGCTTATATTTTAAAAATGTTGAGCATTAACTTGTGATGGCAAGATCTGCCTTGCCTTGCACACATAGGTGTTGATTTACTGAAGGCAAATAGGCTATTCACGCTGCAAGGGAATTTGTAATATGCAGGGGAAGATTCCCTTAGCTTAGTGAATGTGGTGAAACTTCACTTTGTAAAGAATACCCAATCATGTGCAAGGAAAATAAAAAAACAGCATTTATTCTTGAACATGATTGGTTGATGGAAGTCAACAGAGCTTCCCCTCATTCACTAAACTAAGGATAAACCTCCCCTGCTAAGTGCAAAGTAAACAGCCTATTTGCTTTTAGTAAATCAACCGATATACTTAAAAAACATACGTTCTACATTGAAGTGTTCGGTATATGTCAGCCTGAGTTAAACTCAAAATGAAATAAAACAGTTGGGAGATAAATTATATTCTTGGCTGCTTTTATTAGACAGTAAAGATGCAATAACGTTCTGCTGTACTGATTTGACACTTGATTCCACCCTTTCCAGCTATTTCAACCAGCACAAGAATCTACTACCCTAAAGAATTAGTGTCCTCTTTTAGGTGCAACTGAGATATTCATACCTAAGAAACTGTTTGTAGATAAGGACATTTGGTTTTATGCGTCTTTCTAACTGAAGTGTGTTGTAGTAGTATCAGAAATAATTGTGCCTTTATCTTTTGCAAATGGTATCCATAAGCAATAAATATAGGAACAAGACAGTCACATTACTTGCTGAATACATATGTAAATTGCACATACATTTTTTTTACTTAATACCACTAAAGTTGTTTTGTAACTAAATTCCTCCAAAGTTCAGGTAGCTCTCAACCACAGGCTGAATTAGGAAATTAATAACTAATGCTGGACCATTACCTTTCAAAGTACAGTTGCAAAAGTGCACACAGCAGATCTGCCCCATATTGTACCCATTGGATTAGTATCTCCTACTGCATTATCTGCACATAACAATAGCCAGGCACAGTGCCATTTTGGTCAACAAAACCAGATATGGTTGTAAGTGTATTTAATTAGAAAGACAAAAACTCAAATTATATCTTAAAATTTGCTTTATTTTATTTACTTATACTAGATGTGATCTCTAACAAAGTTTTTTTGCTGAAGGTAAAATGATCTGTATTGGTACAAAGGTAGACTCTCAATGCTGAGAATTTTCAATGCTGTCTCACAACCCCCAATCAGATTCCAAACTACCCTGAAAAAGTTTGACTGAAAAATCTAACAGTGTTATTCACAAATGGGTGAAGAGTTTGGAGAAGGCAGGAGAAGTGAACAATCTAGGCCAAAAGAGCGGATTTGGAAAATTTTCCAATTCAGCTCACTTTGCAGTTTAGCTGTGTCACTTCACCAAACTCGTCACCTTTTTGTGAATAAACCTGTTAGTTTCTAAACAACCGGTGGCTATGAAGAACTGATAATGCCCAATATTGGCATGTTGATAAAGCAAGGATGCATTCTTAGAATTCTGATATTTGTTTACAAATTACTGCAAATTTTTAAATGCAAATAACTGGCATACTAATAAAACAAATGAAAAGAAGAAAATTATTTACCTTTCCCACATACTGAGGCTCTGGTCCTATGTGTTCTTCTAAAACAAAGAACTGATTCCAAACCCATCCACGTTTTGGCCGATGGTGAACTTCTGTCTCTCCTTCTATATGTTTGGTTTGATTTCTGCTAACCTTTATGGAGGTGTGATGTGTTGCTCCATAACATCTTTGCACAAAACAGAGGCAGACTAGAACAGGACAGATACCAGATGTACTTGTAAATCTCATGGTAGGAAATGTTTCCTTTTTCTTTGCCTTGTAAGTTTGTAATCCAGCAGACAGGTGTACTTGCTATGTAGCTAAATTTGATCTGGCAAAACAGTCCAGCATTGTCTTCTTCTTTGAGCATCCATTACTTTTATTGATTTTCAGAAATTAAGACTGTATTTACATCCTGAAAAGAAAATATGTCTTAGCAGAGTCTCTGTGGAAATCCTCATTATGTTGTCCAGGAGACGAGCATGTTAAATCTAATGGAAATAAGCAAAGAGCACCATCAGGAAAGTAATTTACTTCTACACCCTATTAGCAATTATTGATTTGTACATAAATACACAGTATAAAGTTTTAATTGAAGGGTCTAGTCAATGTAGACACCAAATCTTTTGAACATAATAGCACACTTGTTTTATCCGAACTACCTTTTGATTCACAATAAAACTATTATTATTACGGAAAATGGTTTAAACACTGCATCTTAGTTATTTTTAAAAGTTTAAAACTAAAATTAGTAATTTTTTTAGTAATTCTGGATTGCATTTTCTTCACATAACTGCAAAAAAACTTTATACGACTGTTGATGCTATAAACACCAAGGTCATTAGACAGCTTCTATCATAAATTATTTTCAGTGTATTCATTATGCAGTATATTTCCAGGCTTTGAAAAGAAAGAAAAATCACAAATAATCTTGTAAGCAAGCATACAAATGCCACATTGTATGATGAGGTTGCTTTTTAAACTATATCAGCTCAAACCTGCTCTTTCTGTTGCTATGTCTGTAGTACAAAGAATCTTAAGTTTTATGAGGGATATTTAGTGTAAACGGAGATGGACAAGTCCTCATCTTATACTCACATCCTAATTTTAATCTTACACAAGAATACACATTTATGAACTATGTACTTCTATTGAAGTACTTTAATAATATTACTTGTGCACCTTAATTGCTTATATGTTTAGATTTATTTGTATTATTCAGATATAGGTTTATTAATGCTGTGATTGAGATATAGCACAGGCTAAAGTGCTCCTATGCTATGAAGCAGCATACTGATAGGAAGAGAGAGCAGAGTTACAGAGACATGAGCTCATCAGGCTGCTGCCTTTCTCAATGTACTGTCCAATTGTAGGCTGGGGGAGGGACAGAATTTGTTTCTTAACTTCAAAAGAGGAAAATGAGGTCTCATGCCCTGCCAGACAGGACTGCAATGTGTAGCAGATCTGTGTAGATAAGGAAAAATTGCAGAGATCGGGGATCACAAATAAATTATGACAAACACCCAAGAACCATCCATTGCACCATTAATTGATACCGAGTAAATAAATGAAGTCTGCTGCATCAGTTTTAGTATATAACAAATCCCCATAGGTGTGCCACTATATGAAATAGTAAAATCGATACTAAAAATAGTAAAACAAAACATAATTGAGAAATGCTAATACAAAATGATGTCTCTATAGAACTGTTTACCTGCAAGAAAAATTTGTCAGAGCCAATTTAATATTAAGGCCATGATCCTCCTCAAAGGCCCGTTCACACCAAAATCAGAAGGAAATCATAAGTCAGTGGAGGGTCCATTGACTTGCAGTTTCAAACTTTGTTAACCTCCATTCCATTGCTCTTTATTTTTTTAATTTCACTTTTATGCCAATCTTTATTTTAACTAACATGTCCTGAGTGGACAAATATATATAATTTTTTTTATTTCCACTCAATTGAGTTGCATTTATATCTGTTTTGTTTCATTACATTATGCTGAAAAAAAGTAGAACATGCTCTACTTTTTTTAATTGCACTGAAACGAAATGGAATGGATTGCAGCGGTGTGAACTGGTCCCATTAACACCCATTAATTTTTAGCTGCCCTTGCATTAGCATCCATTAAAAAACGGATTGCAAAGCAACAGATCTGGTGTGAATGAGTGTATTGGTAGGTAAACTGACAGTAGCAGCTTCAGATATAGGTACAATCCACTTCTCTAGTAGGCTGCTGAGGACAGTGCTTACTCATGGCTTGCCAGTTTATGGTCAGCCTGGAAGAAGCACTTGTGCATGAAGGTTGTTAGTGAAGAGTCAGCTGTGAATCAGCTGGTTTAAGAGAATGAACAGTCCTTTTCTGAGGATTCAGCATACTGATGTTCCTAGCCATCTTCTTTTAATACCTGCAGATTAAGCTGTACTCTGCTAAACATTGTTGTAGTCTCAATGAAATAGTAATTCTTATGTGCAATGTATAGCTTGGTGGAACTTATAATTGTGACTTCTTTGAAAGAATTTAAGATATAAAACTTTACTAAAGTGCTGTTAAAAACATTATGATTAATATAGACGTATATTATAAAATAGGTACAGATACAAAAAAAGTACTACAATGCAGCAGTCTTGTACAGGAGATGCAAAAAAACATGCACAAGAAGACATAAAAAATTTAAATAATTACAAAAAGGTAAGCATATGTAAGATATTGGTGACAAAAAATTGAGGTTGTATAAAATTGTAAAAGGAGAGTTCTTTAATGAGGGGCAATCTACATTTAATTTCTAATTTTATTAGACATCGATATCAATTTATGTTTTATATTTTTGTCACCAGCTTTATATATATAAATATGCTCGTCTTTTGTATATCTTTTTGTCTTCTTGAGCAGGTTTGCTGCACCTCCTGTACAATGCTACTGCATTTGAGTACATTTGTATTCTTACATTTATTATGTATTCCTGTATAAAACAATTTTTACAATGGACACCTCTACATAATGTTTTTATCAAGACTTTATTAAAGGTTCATACTTTAATACTTTTAAAAAATGCACAATTAGATGTTCCACCTAGACATTACACATAAGGGAAATCTATTTCAATAAGGCAACACAAATGATAAGCAGAGTAAGAATGAATCCACAGGTATTAGAAGACATACATCAGTATGCTGAATCCTGAGGAAGGGGAACATGCATTCTCTGAATCTGGATGATTGACAGCTGACTTCACAATAACTTGCATGTACATTAGGTCCTTCTTCTGGACTAACCACAATCTTGCTGGCCACAAATAAGTGGCATCCTAAGCAGCCCACCACAGAAGGAGATCCTGTCTCTCTGATGCTACTTATATAAGATTAAAACTCTTTAGGAGGATCACAGCATTAATTATGAATTGGCTCTGAAAATATTTTATTGCAGGTAAACAGTATTAGAAGACATACATCAGTATGTTGAATACTGAGGAAGGGGAATGTGCATTCTCTGAATCAGGATGATTGACAGTTGATTCTTCACTACAACTTGCATGCACATCAAGTCGTTCTTCTGGACTTGACACAATCTTACTGGCTACAAGTAAGTGGCACCCTAACAAATAGTGAAAATGTGTATGGAGGGCTACGAGACTCTGATGGTTAACCTCCAAATTTATAGTATAGTCAAAAAATGATCCACTTAGATTCCCAAGGATATCTCCCTCAATAACATAACTAAATTACAGACTATAGTGACTTCCATAGGTTGAGGTAGAACTCCTGAGGAAACCATGCATCAACAGTATCAACTTAATTATCAAACATCTATAATTATTATCGTATTATCTTATACAAACCATATACAAACATAAATCATATACAAAAACACACATTTAAAACCACTTATATCACTCCCCTTGTTATTTCAACTATAGGGCCCTGCTGGTAGAGCTGGGGGTGATGGTTTGGCGAATGTGCATGTTTATGCAGGGACTATGATGTAACTGGAAACACCGCCTTGGTGGATAAAACAAGAGCTTATATAGCCATACAGGACTATCTGTCTACTGGATATTCCACTGGAACATGGAGAACCGTGAGTTTTCTAAAAGTGGCAATTGCTGAATCACTATATACCCACGTTGAAATTTTTCCTTAACTTAGTAAATTAGGAAAAGCTCTGCTCATACAATCATTTTTTTTCTTTTAATTTTCTGTGATTGGGTATGCTTTCCAAAGGGAATTTTATCCACATTAACTAAGCTAAGGGAAAATTCCTTTGCAAATTGAACAGCCTACTTGCCTTTAGTAAATCATCCATATAGGTTTGCATTAGCATTGTTCAAGCACTGTGTTTTTGCATTAGTATTCAGCTTTTCATATAAAATGTTGTGGCATTCCTATGACGATGTATTCTGCTAGATCTTATGTACAGCAGACTAGTGTTTACTTATTCATTCCTTTAGTTACTGAGTATCAATGAATACACAGTTATATAATTAGTCAGATTGAAAAAAGTCAATTGAGTTCAACAAATAGAGAGAAAAAAATAATTAATACAAAATCTCTATAAACAGAACCCTATGACCACAGTTACCCACAGCTGATCCAGTGGAAGGCAAAATTGAACAATTATAATTCATGGACAACTAATTATCAGTGTGGGACTCTTGTAACACTTTGTGCAATCAAAGCCTTTTAATAAAAAAGCAGGGGGGGTGCAAAGGTGAGCAGGGATGGATCTGGATGCAGAGGTTAGCAAAAAGGGGGGATCATTGTAAATACCCTTTTTACATTTGCGTTGGAGGTCAGTGAAGACTCCCTTCATTACATTAGCAGTCAATATAAGTAGCCATGTTACATTGGTGGCCAGTGTAGAATCCCTCCTGCACTGGTAGTGAGTATAAAATATCCCCCTACATTGGTGGTCAGTGTAAATACACATTTTACATTGATAATAAGGTTAATTTGCTCATTACATTGGTGGTCAGTGAATAATTCCCCCCTTACAGTGGTGGTCAGTATATAATTCCCCTTAACTTTGGTTGTGAGTTTACAATCCCTCATGACATTGGTGATCAGTGTAGAATCCCCCATGATATTGGTTGTCACTGTAGAATTCCCCTTACATTGGTGGTTATTGTAGAATCTGCCCTTATATTGGTGGTCAGTGTGAATTCCCCTTACATTGGTGGTCAGTGTACAATCCCCACTCACATTTGGGGTCAGTGCAGGGCTGAATTAACATGTGGCAGATGAAGCTGCTGCTCCAGGCACGCCCCTGCAAATAGGCCTGGCCATCGGGCATGACCGGCCGCTATCAGGCAGTGGCCGCCTTCTATTTAAGCATATTAGAAGGCGACTCAGTTCTCACTAGGGCCCCAAGAGGCCCCTGCGAGCGTCCCTCTAATATGCCTGAATAGAGGGCCGCCACTGCCTGATTGTGGCCGGTCACCGCCTAAATAGAGAGCTGCACCTGCCAGTGTCACTCTGCATACCAGGAGAGAGCCC